AGGGAGGGCCCATGTGTGTGTGTGTGTGTGAGGAGGAAGAAGGTGTATGCGCTGCTCAGTCTTGTGAGAGTGTACGAGCGGCTGTGTGAAACCTTCGGTCGCAGCTGAACGAGTGAACAGCCACACACACATGCGGGAGAGTACGCGCTCCTGACTCGATGGACTTTCTGGACATCTCTACTAGAAACCCTCAGGATGACTTTGAAATCCTGCTGCGCGTCGGAGGAGGGACGTATGGAGAAGTCTATAAGGTCAGAGGTCACCATAGGGCCACTGAGAAACGGCCTTTTATTTCATTTTACCGAACCTTAAACTGCAGCCTTACTAAGGCTTATTAACTGCCGCTGCTAACAGTAACTACTAATCTATTAACTACTACAAACTACTGGGCAGCGACTTAAAGTGTCCAGTTTAAGTTATGTAGCCTTAATTTTTTTATATAGACTTAATTTTTATTATTTAGTAATAACTTTGATTTATTTGGAAGCCACTATCAAATTAATATGTACATTATGTAGCTCTTAAGTAGTCATAAGGCTTATTATGAATATTACTATCAATTATTTTAATACTTCTGTGAAACTAATACCCAATGGATGTCTTTCTTAAGTAGTCCTGTAACTTATTATCTAATAACTGCAATAAATCAATGTTAGCATCATTATTCATAAACACTATGACTTATATATTAACTAGTTTGAATTATTCAGTATCTACTATGAATTATTAAGTATCTACTATGAATTATTTAGTATCTACTATGAATTTTTCAGTAACCACTATAGATTTTTCAGTAACCACTATAAATTATTCAATATCTCCTATGAATTATTCAGTATGTACTACAACTTATTCAGTATCTACTACAAATTATTCAGTATGCACTATGAATTATTTGGTATCTACTATGAATTATTCAGTGTTTACTACGAATTATTTGGTATCTACTACGAATTATTCAGTAACTATGAATTATTCAGTATCTACTATGAATTATTCAGTATCTACTATGAATTATTCAGTATCTACTCTGAGTCATTCAGTAACTGATCTAACACTAACACATAAGTTATGTAGTTATGAGAAAAAGTTACTGAAATCTCGAAATTAAAGTTTAAGGGGTTTTGATCTTCCAAGCTTGCAAGGAATTTTATCAGAAAGTAAGAAGTGCTTGCTGGTATGTGCTGTGAGGTCTTTCGCTCTGCTGCAGCGTCCTGTCCGCAGTGTGAGAGAGAACTTATCTCCGTTTCAGTAGTTTTGTTTCTCCTGGCAGGTTTTGTTCATGAACTGTGTGAGAAAACATAACGTTTTTTCTTTGTGTGAAAGGAGAAGGACTTTCTAACTGGGCCTTCGCTCGTGAAACGGTTCAGGGCTGAACATGCTGATCTCAGATCAAACTGTGATGCTGATTTACTGACAGCATTTATGCTCGGAATGCACTTCCGCTGCCTTTGGTAGGTTTTAGCCCAGGTGGGCAAAGTCTGTGGGCATGGTTGTGGGTTCTCTTGCAACGTTTTCACCCCTTAAACTCTCAGGGTCTGTATGTGGGTCCACACTTCAGTTCCTCACTCTCAAAACTACAGCACTTACACATTCATTTCAAAGTAGATATTGAATAATTATAGTATTTACTGAATTATGTAGAGTTTTTACTGAAAAATGAATAACACAGTACATAATTCATAGTAGTTACTGAATAGTTCATGGTAGATACCAAATAATTCATAGCAGATACTGAATAATTCATAGGAGTTATTGAATAATTCACAGTAGATACTGAATAATTCATAGTAGATACTAAATAACTTATAGTAGATAGTAAATAATTCATAGGAGTTACTGAGGGATTCAGAGTAGATACTTAGTAATTCATAGCATTTACTAAACAATTCATAGTGGTTATTGAATAATTCATGGTACACACTGAATAATTCATAGTACTCACTGAATAATTCCTAGTAGATACTGAATAATTCGCAGTAGTTACTGAATAATTCACATTTACTGAATACTCGTAGTAGATACCAAATAATTCATAGTTGTTACTGAAAATTGACTGTAGATACTAATAATTCATAGTAGTCACTGAATAATTCATAGTAGTCACTGAATAATTCATAGTAGTCACTGAATAATTCATAGTAAATACTGAATAATTCATAGTAGATAATGAATAATTCACAGTAGTTACTATAATTCATAGTAGATACCGAATAATCCATAACAATCAATCAGTCAAGATAAACTTGGCGTCAGAACTTTCTTTTGTTTTGCACTGGAGCTAATCTTGCTAACAAATAACGGACGCAAACACCCCACCAATTAGCAATGCGCTAACTGCATGCCTAAATATTTACACAGTCACATCACACCATGTAGAGCTGTTAATAGATTTATGTTGTTACTTCATAAAAAAAAACATTTTCAAGACAAACGTCAAGGTGGCGTCTCCTGTTTTTAGCTTTGCGTTTGAGTTAAGATGCATCACTAAATAAAAATCCTGTGGTCAGAGGTGTTGATGAGGAGCACCTGAAAGCTTGATTCTGCTCTAGTGTGAGCAGCGCTGATTGTTATCAAAACAGGCCTTATCTCTGATCTAGAGTCCATGTCTGAACTGTCTTACTCTCCTTCTCTCGTTTTCTTTCTGGTTTGTCTTAACTGTGACATCCTGAACCAAGAATGGCAATGTGATGTGAGCGCTCCGTGTGTGAGAGAGACTTTGTGTATGCGAGTGCGAGTGTTTTTTCATACCAAAATCAGATTTTCATGCTAATATCCACTACGTGTGGCGTGAGCGTTAATGCGTAAAAGACACCAACTCTGAAACAGAGTGAAAGGTGAAGGCAGGAAGAGGAAAACCAAACCCACCAAATGTTACTCATCCAGTACCCCTAGACGAGGCACCCTAGTTACACTACGTTAATGGAGAAGCCTTATTTTGCTGAAAAAAAATGAATGTTGAAAAGGAATAAAAGGTTAATAGACATAAAACACGTGCAGGCGGTAGTGGTAGTAGTAAGATGGCATTAAAAATGCTCTTGGACCACTACGGCCCGTCTTTACATAAAGTTCCTCTTTATTTAAAAAAAGACAACAACAAAAAAACCCCAAATGGCGGGTTTGGTTAGCTGAGTCCTATTTCAGAAACAACCAAAGCTAAAAGACTTAAGACAGAAATGTCACCAGGGCCTTAAAGTCAACAGGAAGAAAACTGGTTTCCTCTGTTTTCAGCCCCAGGTGCCTCTCTGCACTAAATTATTTTTGGGCCTGCTGCCTGTTTTTGCTCATTACAGTCATAATGATAGTCAATTATGTGGCTTATGGTGTCATGTCTATTATATTATACTGTTCTCAATGACCCAAAGATGCTTACAATGAGAAAACAAACGTAAACGTAAAATAACATGCAAAAGCATGACACGGTGCATCGATCGATTTTACAGAAATGAACAATTTGCAGCACATGCTGTACTCGACTGCTTGGCCCTTCTTTGTTTTACCGCGTTATTGGATTTCCTCCTTCCTCTTAAGAGCAGCTGTGTTTTTTTTCTTTTTTTTCTATGCACACATACAACAAGGGGGAATCCAGACAGGGAAATACCTTTAGATCGATCAAACATTAACGCATATTCTAAATAAATGGGGAAAAAAGGGCATGGTTGGGTGCTATGCACTGCCACCTCACTCGTTTTTAGGCTTCTTTGTTTTAAAGCAGTGTGCACCATGCAAATGAGGGGATGTGGGACCTTTTCTTTTCCTCTCTCTCCCTCTCTCTCTCTCTCTTGAAGCAGAATAAACCAGCCAGTGTTAGCCTTCCGCACAACTCGAGTTGATAGTTAAGCTACGAATGTTAGAATTTTCATCCCAGAAAATGTAGAATAGAAAAGTGTAGAAATGTCCAATGTTTGATATTTTCCATGCTTCAGCTGGTCAAAAGGATAAGAAGTTGGGCAGACTTGATATGTGAAAAAAGCAAACCTGACCTGAGGACTAAACTTTATAGCTCCCACAGAATTAATCTTGTAGATCTACAGCAAAGGCCTTACAATCTCTTATGTAGGTCTTCTTATATATTGCACTAAACCAGCTCAATATATTACATGATTGAATGTCTGTTGTCACTGTAGCACTTTTCTGACAGGAAGAATGGAAGCAGACTAGTTGTTTTCCTGGTCATACCGGCTTTACAGACTCTAAGCAAACACCTGCATGGCTTTTCTCATTGGATGACGAATTGCAGTGATGTGGTAACACGCACTAGCGTGCCTGGCCTGCTGTGCACTAAGATGCTATTTTTGACATGTTTTGGCAGTAGAGCTTTCAGTAGGATGTTGAAGTAATAGTCTGGTGGTACTAGAGCAAAGGGGAGAGTGAAGACAGGTGAGGGTAGATCACAGAGGGAAGAGTGAAGACAGGTAAGTGTAGATCACAGAGGGAAGAGTGAAGACAGGTAAGGGTGGAGCACAGAGGGAAGAGTAAAGACAGGTGAGGAAAGAGCACAGAGGGAAGAGTGAAGACAGGTGAGGAAAGAGCACAGAGGGAAGAGTGAAGACAGGTGAGGGTGGAGCACAGAGGGAAGAGTGAAGACAGGTAAGAGCTCGAGTAACGTGATGACTAGGGTTGAGAGCACAGAGGGAGAGTACAAGGTGAGGGTAGATCACAGAGGGAAGAGTGAAGACAGGTGAGGAAAGAGCACAGAGGGAAGAGTGAAGACAGGTGAGGGTGGAGCACAGAGGGAAGAGTAAAGACAGGTGAGGAAAGAGCACAGGGGGAAGAGTGAAGACAGGTGAGGAAAGAGCACAGAGGGAAGAGTGAAGACAGGTAAGAGTGGAGCACAGAGGGAAGAGTGAAGACAGGTAAGGGTGGAGCACAGAGGGAAGAGTGAAGACAGGTGAGGGTGGAGCACAGAGGGAAGAGTGAAGACAGGTGAGGGTGGAGCACAGAGGGAAGAGTGAAGACAGGTAAGGGTGGAGCACAGAGGGAAGAGTGAAGACAGGTGAGGAAAGAGCACAGAGGGAAGAGTAAAGACAGGTAAGGGTGGAGCACAGAGGGAAGAGTGAAGACAGGTGAGGGTAGATCACAGAGGGAAGAGTAAAGACAGGTGAGGGTGGAGCACAGAGGGAAGAGTGAAGACAGGTGAGGGTGGAGCACAGAGGGAAGAGTGAAGACAGGTAAGGGTGGAGCACAGAGGGAAGAGTGAAGACAGGTGAGGGTGAGCACAGAGGGAAGAGTGAAGACAGGTAAGGGTGGA